CATTTCTCATCTTTTTCATTTCTTTGTGGACTTTAGGAAGAGCACTAAGCTTGTCAGGGTAAAAAACATGAGGTTTTAACACACGGGACTACTAGTCCCCGTGTGTTTTCTGGGTTGTGCTTAGGAGGTGATTAGCGACAAACACACAAGACTAGTTGTCCTATGTGTTTTCAACGCCAAATCTAGCAAAATCGACCTCTTTTTGGCCAACCTTGATGAGCTAGCCAAAAAGAGGTCGATTTTTCTAATTATTTAGCAAAATGTTGTTTTTGCTAATTACTTTTTTAAAAGGATCATTTTTAAAAAAAAATTCTCCGCCAGATGAAACATAACCAGTCTAAACACCATTTGCTTGAAAAGGCAAAATAAAATCAATGTATATCAAACAAACTTGACAAAGCTAAATGATGCTACTCTTTGAACTCTTAACTTCTTAATCGGACTATTTCTATTTCTTTAATCCAATTTATGAGTAGTTACATGATCGCAGAGGTGTAGTTTCTGCTTTGAAAATTAGCACTTCGCAGCCTTCAAGCACCTTATTATCTTTTTAACAGGTGTAATATGTAAACTTTCAAGTTTGGTTATATGATATTTATTGTCAAGGAATTTTCCCCCCTTTCCAGGTCAAAGAATTGGCTGAGAAGGCACGAGCAGGGAAGCTTGCTCCTCATCAATTTCAAGGTGGAACTTTCAGGTAGGTGTGCAATCATTTCAATATTCCTAGTTGATGGTCATCTGTTTTTTTCTTTTAATAAGATTAATTGTAACCATGCTTTTTTAAAAAAAACTTTTATTGCAGCATTTCAAATCTAGGGATGTTTCCTGTGGATCATTTCTGCGCTATAATTAACCCTCCGCAGGTTTGGCCTTTAATGTTTTGAAGAACATTTAGTTCCTTCACCTGTGCAATGTTATATTGCAATTTTCTTTCCAAACTGTACAATGATTTTTGTTTTCATTTGGTAAGTCATCATTAAGATTCTTACTATAGTAGTGATTATGAAGCCAAAGAAGTGATGCAATGAATGGTTTCCGCACATACTGCAAATTTGATGATTGTAACTATTTTGTGCCAAGTTAAGAACTTTGTCTGTTGGCCCATTTGGCACCAGTTTATCTGGGATTTCGTTTTTAGCATGCCTGATAGGTTCCTTTTAGTTAATGAGGATATCATCAAGATTGTCTGGAAGATATCAGAAGCTATTGTCAAAGGGGATTTCCTCTGCATGTTATTCAAATTTGAGGGATGCAACAAATTTTCCATAGTAAATACCAGCTCCATATTTTTGGGCTCATTTGTTAATGCGTCAAGGGGGTTCATCTCATTGTACTAGTAGGATTAGGAAGAGTTAAAGTCATCAGGTAGACAAGTTAAGAGTTGTTCCTCTTGAGATTAATCAACTCTCATGTTGCTCTTTAACAAGCTTAAGAAATGAGAGATTATGCTAAATACCTAGGGGCGGTTCTACATGGAGCAAAGTGGTGTCTCGCGACACCTCTCTGCTCCACATAATATAATACCCACCCACCTAAAAACCCACAACCACTACAAACTCTACGTGTGAAAATATTAATTGACCCCACTAATTGATAAAGATGTACTTAACAGTGTTATTGATGATGGTTGTGTACTTTTTTCAAAATATGCACTTGTCGCCTCGTTGAGGACAATTGTAAATTTTTATTAATTATATTGTCATCACTTTCCAGACATCCTGAATCCGCCGCTGTAAGTATCGTAAATTTAGTCCTCTCTATTTGCCAAACGAAAAAGAAGTTAACCCCTCTTGAAAACATAGAATACCAGCCAATTGATCCTTTGCAGCATACATTAACTATCATAATGCCCCTTAATAACACCCCCATTAACATGTTGTTGATAGAACACTTTAGTTCTGTTACAAAATTAAAAGTTCCACTGGCTGTTTTTGGCTGCTTCTGGCTTTCTAACACTAAGAGATAAATATTTTCTTTCACCCCTTGTTTATCTTTGAACTTGATTCTTGTTCATTTCCCTTGAGAAAGCCAAATAAATCTTCTAGTTATGTCCAAATGAAAGTCTTAAAGTACAAATGCAACGTGGCATGAGAAATATGTTTAAGAGCTAGGTAGCAGACTGGAACCTTTGCTATAAAGTGAATTTTATTTACGAGCACAAGTAAGATGTTAAAGTCAAAGAGCTACGTAGCGGCAGAGTCTTTGCCGTAGAAAACATTTTTGTCTGCAAACATGTTTTAAGATAACACTACTAACTAGTAGCTAACTGAATCTTCGTCATATAGGAAATTTTATTTGCAACACTAGGTTGTCTAGGCCTTGGGTATAACGCCTAGAGCATAGGCGGAGCTTTTCCTTTTTTTATTTTTGAAATTACAATCAATGTTATTGAAATCGCTAGGCACCTCCAGAGGCCAAAATGGTGCCTAGCACTTAGGTCCTAGGTGTCACGCCTTAAAATAGCAGCTTAAAATAGCAGCTGATAATAGATACGGGGACGTGATAGCAACGACTCGTGCACAAGATAAATCTCATGCACGTGTCAAGCCTGACACTTCTTATCACATAGTTTTTCTCAAAATATATAAATCTGTTGATGATAGAAGTTCAAAGCAAAGTGTGTGTTTGTGTATAGCCAGTAAGTACAACTCCATCGTTACAAGCATTTTACATTTTACGGAACCAAAATACATTGTTTGGCTGTAGATAACACAAAAGAGGGGCTTTCCCATATTAACACCTCCTAGTAACAGGCCACAACCAAAAGTGCAGCTTATATGTGAAACTATGTCAGATCTGGAAAAAAATTGAAAGCAATGGGTGAGCTAAAGCTCAGTAAGTACATTTCCTATTAGAGTCCCTAGATACCTAATAAAATAATAATTTTAAGAAATAGTGAATTATAGATTTTGCACTTAAAATTCTAAAATGACAAAATATTATGTTAAAGAATACATTATTATTATTTTCAAGAAAGAATGTGACATTTTAAATTCTTTCTTATGTGAGAACTGAATGTAATGTCATAGATTCTTAAATCAAACTTTTTGAAATCAATATAAATTTTGAGAAAGAACAAACTATTAAATTATGTGCAAAACTAAAATATTATTGTTTTTCTCAAATTCATAATCAAATGACAGAATCAAAAAAACACGATGGGTTGTTTACATAGTTTTAATTACTTCCTCATGTCACACTAATACTATGAAGTATAGCCTAGTAGCATGAGTTTATGCATCACATAACAAATAATTATATGGAATAGAATGCATATAACACTGTAATAGGCTGTCGGCCAAATTACAAATGCCCAAAAAAGTCATATCACAAATGTCCAATAAGACCACATAAAGGTGCATTCACTATATGGCAAGCACAACAGAACTCTCCATATTGGACTATTGAGGTTTGAAAACATCGAAATTCTTTAACAAGCAATGTGGATTCTAGAGTCCTATGGATTTTAGTGATGCCTCCCACCGCGTTCACGTGATGTAGCACTTATTCCTGTATGACACTTACGCTCTACATTTCCAAGCTGATTTATTGCTTTGAATCCATTTGCCAATTGCTTTATTTCAAAAACACATCACTCGTACCTTAAAAATTTTGGTATAGACTAGATCACTTTGTCAAAATTATTAATGCTTTCAAATCTAATGGACGAGTGTAAAACTCGTCATATCAATAAAACAACTTACGAATTTTACTTTCATCAATTTTTTTCTTTCAAATATCAAATGACGAGAAAATTTCTTGAATTCATCAAACTATTAAAACACCTTCAACATACTTATACCTTCAATGACTTTTTTGAATAAAACAATATTCACACATTTATTTGAGATCACATGTGAACTAATTCATTTCAATACTTTTTATATGAAACTAAATTTACTTTTAATATCTCATACGATATCAAAATCATATTATTAGGATAAGTTGCTAGAGTATAAGTCAAATCACATTTCATTTTATATACATGAAAATAAAAAAAATATTCTATGGAGCACAAGATCAATAGATATATTAGTGTTGATTTAGATTATAAAAACACTAGTGAGAAATGAACTCACCTTATACTATCCGAGTTTCTCAAAATATGATCCCCCGTCGCTATCAACCAAATCATGTAGTATAAAGATATAATATTAATATTAATTCAAGAGTCAAGACAAACTCATGTTATAGGTTAATCACTCTATAATCTAGGTCCAAAGAGAGTCAAACGTAATCAATTAGTAGTCAAGACCCGTAAATAGGGTTCACATAGACTTATTACTAATCTTAGCAATTTATCATAATTTTATAACATCCCTTTAAATATTCTGGACCTATTAACAAATTATTACAAGCTCAGGGGCTATAAATAATTATCCAAGCCCAAATTAACTTTACACTATTCAGTTTGTAACTGTTTACAATTTCTGGAGCATCTAGGGGTTTAAAACTAATTGTTTTCTAGTCAAATCCTACATTTCAACTGCATTTGGGCTTTTCAGAAGTTATTCAAATTAGGTTCTAGGATAATTTTCCTTTCCTCTAGGGGGGTTAGTTATCTAGAACTTTTTAAGTTGAATTGGGATAATTGGTAAAGTGAGATAATTTTTTGACACGATGATAATTTAGTGGAACAATGATAGATAATTTTTAAAGTGGATTAATTAGGTAGAATACTTTGGTGGGATAATAATGGATAATATTACGAAGTTGCATAAGTTGGTAGGATAATTTGGTGGGGGTAATGGTGAGTATAAATTACTATTGTTAATAATTATATATTAAAAATAATATAAGATTGATAAGCAATTGATTAGTCCAGTAATAACTATAAAATATAATGTAATAAAACATCACTATTCATCTCAAATAATAAAATATTTTACAACTAGTAATAACTATAAAATATAATGTAATAAAACATCACTATTCATCTCAAATAATAAAATATTTTACAACTAAATAAAAATCTAAATCCCTAGAGAAATATTTTACAACTAAATAAAAATCTAAATCCCTAGAGTGACTCGACTTCCATCATCCCACATGGCCTTTGCCATAGAATTTCTCTAATCTCCTACAGCTGCTCGTTGAGTTTGTAACTCGTCTTCTTCATCGGAGTCATCATCTGCATCAATAACATTTCGTGGAGTTTCTAGTGGAGGATCATAAATGTCGAAGTCATCATTTGTATTATCCAATCTTAAACAATTATGCAATCCTACGCATGCAATGAACATCTTTATTTGTGTGGCATATGGAAAACCTAGATGTTGGCTCTTGAAATAGTGAATCTAGACTTAAAAACTTAAAAGATGCGCTCGACACAATTTCTAAGAGACACATGCCGATGGTTGAATTTTTTTTTTGAATTTCGTGGTCGTCGATTATTAGCAGAGCCGAATTCTAAAAGATGGTACATTTGACCTCGGTATGGAGCAAGAAATTGTAGCCTATTTGGATAGTCGCAGTCAACTAGATAAAATTTATCTACAAACAAGAATAAGAATATGAATGAGAAAAAATATTATAAAACTAAAAATTATTCTTTAATTGATAGAATACTATGTAAAGATTATTACTCTGTGGAAGTGGAAGTCCATAAGGTCTACTCATTGCATTCTGCAAGACTCTTGCATCATTAGCGGAGCCCTCTCACCCAGCTAAGACAAATGAATTTGAGATCAAATGTGCAAGCTGTCAAGACGTTTTGAGAGAGAAAACCATGTCTATTTTGATAGGGCGTCTGATCTATGTTATACACCATGCATGGTATATGAATCCATCTATTGCACCGATACAGTCCTGAATAATCAATGTGTTAGACCATCTCAAGTGATGTGTGTGTGGGCGCGCACGC